AGGGAGTACAGGCAGTGTGCTCCATGTTGTCTGAATCTGTTGGATTTTCAAAAAAAATATATGAATATGTTCCACATGTGTGTCAGCCACTGTCACGCTTATAACCAAAAAAGACAAACCCCGCCCCCAGGCTCTCCCTGAGCTTGCCTTCTAGAGAGAGGGCATGGGCAATAAGCAGAGGCCAGCAAAGGAACAGGGTGACTCCAGAAAGTGGCCCATGCTGTGATAAACAGGAACCCTAGAGGCCAGCTGCCCTGTCTCCCAGTCCTGAGCTCTTCTGTCCCTGAGAGTTTTACTTTAGGCAGACTTGGAAAAAGATCAGCTGCAGGAGTTTGGTCTACATTCTAAAAGCAAATTAAAATGTTTTGGATTACAACTGTTTTCCTTTTAAGGGAAAATATTCCTTTTACAAGAAAATTACTTTTTCTCCCCTTCTCAGACTGCATGGGCTGTTTTTAAACAAGAACCCACAGTGAATGAATTGTTGAAGTGCTCAACATGCCACGCTTCACCTGCTTTACACTAAAGAAAGCATTTGCTTCACTACCCACTACACTGCATTGTCTCCTAATGGGGCAGAAAACGGTTTATGTGCAAAAATGATCTAGAGCCAGTTTGTCAGGTTGAAATAGCAGAAGACACCATCTTCTAATAGCTCTACTGCTTCTCAACCACTTTTAAGGAGTACGGGTTGTTTTTCTTTTCTCCCCACACTAAAGATGGATTTTCATGGAATTACATGATTAATAACCCAACTAATCCTGCCCAGATTAAATAACTTTGCCCTTTGGACTGAGTACCCACTCAATAAACAGCTCACCCTCCACAGAGAGTCAGTGACACTGGACACTCACACTCAGCCTAGCAGGACCTCAAGGCCTTGCTGGGCTGTTCTTCAGAGGCATCTGTATCTGCTTGTCAGATGGGGCGACTGTCATCTCCACCTCCCTCCCACAGTGTACCCTGTATAGGCCCACCAGCAGGCTGCCAGTTGGCCGTCGGCTGGTCTAGACCCTCTTCTAATACTGCACTGTGGACTTTATTTTCTTCTACAGCTTCAGCCTCGTGGAGCCCACAGGAGTACACTGATGTCAAGCCTAGTGTAGCTCCTAAGGGCTAAGCACATTTGCTCTTTAAAAAGGATTACTTTTGTCTGAGTCCAGTCCAGTGTTGGCCATACAACTCCCATGTCTTAGGAAACAGAGTGGCTAGAGATGGGCATGAAGTGTGCTTAAACTCCAGTTTTGACAAATATAATTTTGTTTTGAATATTTGAGAAACATACAACAGTTGCAGTCTGAAGGGTTTGCACTCTGTATTCACAAGTCTGTCCCGCGTGCTTTCCCTGCATTCTCTATATGGGCTATCTGTGGTTTCCGAGTGTCCTTAGAGCAATATTCTCAACTCAGACTCCAAGTTTCTTTCAAGATATGTCCCATGCAAGGCTCACCAGGCATCTCCTCAAGCTGTGTGGCCTTGGGGCGACAGCACTCACCGCCTGGTGCAGACGGCCTATGTTTGTTACAGAAGACTGGCCACAGTGTATACTGGCCTATCCTAGCACGACTTCGCAGCTCTACATCCGACACACTCATCACACTGCAAAGTGACATTCACTGTACTCACTCTGGGACACCTGATAGGACTCCTATTGCAATCTGCAGCTCTCCTAGCAATGAAGTGTGATGCTGGATGTCTGAGGAAGAGTTGGTGGTCGTCAGATGACAGAAAATCAGACAAAATCAGGAATAGACACAGAGCAAGGGCATCAGGCATAGAGACCAATGACCTCTTGGAGCACTGGGCATTAACACCAATCCACTTCCAGGCACTTCCTTCTTTCTCACAGTTGGCAAATTCCCCCAGGATGGGTCCATGGCTCTGCTCAGTCTGTGTCCACATCCTGGCTAGGGGCAGCAGCTTTGGAAGAAGTGTCTTTTCAGGGAATGACTGAGTGAACTAAACTGCAGAGCCAAAACATAGGATGGAACTAAGAGACATACAAATGAAAAGTATTTATACAATTATTGGACCTAGCAGCCTGTACATGACTTATCAGACCAAAAGATCAATCAAAAAAAAAAAAATGGGGAGTAAGTCAGGCAGAGTGGCACACACCTGTAATCCCAGCCACTAGGGAGCCTGAGGCAGGAGATCGCGAGTTCAAAGCCAGCCTCAGCAACACCAAGGCACTAAGCAACTCAGTGAGACCCTGTCTCTAAACAAAATACAGAACAAAGCTGGGAATGTGGCTCAGTGGTTGAGTGCCCCTGAAGACATTCAGGTACATTTATATTCTTATAGTATCCAGAAATTTTTCCTTCCAAAAGGCCCATTTACAGACAGTGACAGTGAATGGGAGAACAGTGTCTGAAATTATGGTCCTTGATGAACAGTGTCTGAAATTGTGGTCCTTGATGACTTCTTGTGTGGCAATTTTTCTTTCCAAAAGGCTGACTTTTAATGAAAACTATTAGAAAATTCTGTCAAGCTTCAACTACTTTAGGAATTGAAACCAGGGTAGCTTTTTAAGCAACAACAGACAGAACCAAAGATCCCAACAGTGGACGCTATTCCCTATAGGATCACTTTCCTCTTCCCATTCTTGAGTGAGGAGATTCTACCTACAGATTCTGTTTAAAAGTATCTTAACATTTAATATCTTTAAGTCCCAAATAAGACAGCTGGAGCCTTTTGTTCCTAGCTGAACCCTAAACTGCTTCCAAGGGAGAGTGGGCAGGTGTAACTTCCTAGCTGGCTTCTCCTGGCAGGAACTCTGTACAGAATGGATGCCTCTTAAGGCCCTCTCCTCTAGGTGCTCTGTCTTTCTAGAGGGAAAGCCCATGATTTCTCAGAGACAACTTAAGCACCTGTCTTGGGCTGCTAATCTTTATTCTGCTCCACAATGTACATCACCATGTTAGCCCCAGCCAGGACAGACAGAAGTCACAGCATCGTGCAAAAACAAACACCATCATCTCCAGGAAAACGTGTTCCTTCCAAATACCTAAACCCCTAAGCCTAAGTCCCACCTCTTCCCCAAAACAGAGTTTGTCACTGCAAGGTACAGCATCCTTCAACACCATCCCCAATCCCTTGTCATAGGACAGAAGATGATGTTTATTTTGTAAAAAAGGAATTCTAGAGTGCACCAAGAAGAGGACCCTAAGCAAATCCAATTCTAGCCCAGGTCTGAGTTTTACTCCAACGCCCTCCGAGACAGACAGCAGGGTACCACATTCTCATACCACCTTTAATCCGTGACCAATTCATGGGGTCTTTTACACAAAGTAAGAAATGTCTCTGCTGACCACATCTGAGGGCCACAAGCTCACTCCATGAACATACTCATACCCAGACACACATCCCTTTTTAACTTAAGTACCCATGGATCACGAATTCAACTCACATATGAAGCTGGGTGTGGAAGCAGATACCTGGGGGAAGCCACAGGACTTAAGAGGTCAGCTGGGAGTACAGGGCCCACGCCCTGCTGGGCAATCAAGCCAACTTGCAAGTACAAGCAGAGATCTGCCGCCAGCAGCTAGAGCCCGCAAACAAATTTAATAAGAGGCCACAAGGCTATCTCGTACTGGTCCACGATCGGTATGCGGGATTTCAGAGAACAGAAGAGCCACGCGCGGGACATGCTCGCCCGCCCTTGGCAGCTGCACCTCAAAGGCGCCTGGGCGGGCTGTAAGCCAAGAGGAGCTCCGGCCGTGGGGAGGGGCTCGACCCTAGTGCCAGCGAGCCGCGGGTCGGCTGAGGTCAGGGAGTGTGCTGCAGCTGGGAGCGGGAAGCCTAACCGCAGCCTGGAGGAGATCCTGCCCCGAGAAAGCGCCGCGGAAACGCGGTTCGCCAGCGAGGAGCAGACAAAGGCTCGGGTGCGCACGCGGTGGACGGTGGCGCCTTAGCCGCGCTCAGGGCCGCGGGGAGCCGCGCCCGGCCGGCCGACTCCGGAGTCGCCCTGTGCTCCGCGGACAGCATCTCCGGGACCACAGGAGGCTCCAGCCTGGTCCCGCCTCGCCCCCTCCCGTCCCAGTTTTCCTGTCCTCACCCCGCTCGCCCTCCATCAAAGACAGCGGCGACTCCCTCCTTTGCGCATCCGGCGCGGGTTTCCTCAACATCTCCCGCTTGCCTCCTAGCTTCTAGCGAAGATCTCTCTGCCTTGACTTTTCTGCTCGATCTGGTCCCCCTCCCCCGTGACACGCCTTCTGTCGCCCCTGCCCCAGCGCGCTCTCAGACGCGCGCCCGCGGGTGGCGAGACGGAGTGGTCACACCAAGTCCGAAAGGGCGATTTGGAACCGGAGGCGCCTTCTTGTTCCACGCTAACGCCCCATTGTCCTTCCCTTTTATTACCAACCCAAACACCAGCTAACACCCGGGTCTGCAGTAGGTCGATCTGGGTGGGGGCGCGTCCTCTTTGTGGGGGGGCACCCACTTCCACTTCCCTGGCCCACGCTCTCCAACACGGTCACTAGAAGGGTGTGGAAGCGTAGGGTGCCAGGACTCTGGTCTGTCCTCACCCCAGTCACAGGAACCCAGAGGGCCGGTCCCCCGAGTGGAGGGAAACGCTTTTACTCCTGTTAAGAGGTCACCGGCTCAAGAAAGAGAAACCTAGCTTAAGCCGTGACAAAGTTGACTGAATGAAATATGTGCCGGGTCAGTGCAGCCAGGAGCCTGCCCCTGGGGACGAAGACAGGAGGCAAGTCCCGATTAAACGCCCGGCTCTCGCGGCCCTACAAGATCATCCTTCCTGCGCGCACGCGAGTCCTGGGAAAGCCCGGTGCCCCTGCGCTAACTGACGCTCCCGCCTGCCACCGGGCGGCCCCCAGCCGCCCCCCCCCCCGCCCCGTAAAGGTCCGCTGGGCGCTAAGCACCTCTGACACACGCACCCACCGCAGTAGCTCCCTTCGCACCCCGAGGTCCGAGCCCCCCAACAGCTCCCCACAGAGCGAGAAACGCCCCAGCCACCGGAAACCTGGAGCTAAGGCACTTACTAGGGCTCAGGAAACACTCGGTCAGCCTTCGGAAGCAGCTCGCGTTATTAGAAGGTCCATCTTCCATGTCGGAGCCGAAGAGAAGCGGCGACGCGGCGGCGAGAGCGAAGCTGGCGCCTCCCAGCCGCCGCGGAGTTCGGCCGCCGCCCGAGGGGCCGGGGTAGCCCCCGCCGGCGTCCGCGAAGCCAGGGGAGCCCGCGCGGCGCGCGATCGGGCCGAGGGGAAGCCGGGGCGGCGGCGGCGGCCGGGGCCCGGCGCGGGCTGGGAGCAGCAAGCCCTGGAGCACAGGCGAGAGGAAGAGCCGCCGCCGCCCGCCGCCGCTGCCACCGCCGCCGCGGTGACTACTGCTGGGGGGGACGCTCAAGGGAGCTGCCTCTTGTCCTCCTCCTCCTCCTCCGCCAGCATCGCCGCCGCCTCCTCGAGCCGCCGCCGCCGCTGCGCCCTCCCTTCCTGGGAGACGCACGGGGAGGTGAAAGGCAGATGAGGAGGAGAGAAAAGGGGGAGGGGGCAGGGGGGGCGGCGGCCAGAAGTAAAAGGAAGATGGAGAGGAGGAGGGGACAGGGGAGGAGAAGGCAAGCGCGAAGGGAGCACGAGCAGCGACCCAGCCGCAGCCACCAGCGCCGAGCGCAGAGAGGGCGCCGGAGACCCCCGCGGGGCTGGCGCGGCCTGCCGAGGAGGGGGACGGGCGCGGGGGCGCGGCGCGTTCGGCCCAGCCGCGGCCAGGCCGCTCGGGGGCCAGGCCCGGGCCCGCCGCGCTCCCCCCGCCGGCCGCGCTGCGCCGGGGTTCCGGGCGGAGTTTGCCGGGGCCGGGGCTCGGCTCGTCCCCAGCCTCTGGCAACGGAGCTTGGGGGCGGGGAGCATGAGCCTCAGCAGGGCTGGCCATGGCCCTCCTCCTCGGGCCGCCGTGGGGGCAGGCCGCCGGCCGGAGGGGCGCGGCGAGCCGGACCCGGCGGGCTCCGCCCCCGCAGGACCTGCCCTCCTCGGCCGGCCGGTCGGCCCGAGCGCCTGTCCGGTCCTCCTAGCCTGTCTCCCAAGCCCCTCCCGGCCCGGTCTTCACATCGTGCTCAGCTTCGGGTGCTGAAGGATCCCGGGTTGGGGGCGAGTCCCGGGTGACCGCGACTGGCTACTGGCTGGCACGCACAATCGGCGTCCTCCCCGCACGGGCGAGGGTCTGCGGAGACGCTGCCTGCAGGCGTGGCGTGGTTAGTGCGCGCTCCGGCAGCTGAGCCTCGGTGCCTGACCCAAAGCAGCAGAGAAAAGCGCCGCAGTGCCGCTGCCCGTGGAGGCGGCGGTGGCGGCGGCGGCAGAAGACGCCCACTGGCGGAGCAGTAGCTCCCCACGCTGCCGCCGCCCGCGCCCACGTTGCGCGCTCGCTGGGACGGCCCCACGGCGCCAGGGCCCCACACGCCCCTGGTCTGTGAGCACCTTGTGCTCCCCGGACCCGCTAGCGGGCGGGGGAACTGCTGCGTTTCTGCTGGGCGTTGTCACCTCCGGGTTCGGTGTTCCAGATTCTAAACCCGCACCCCTGCAGATGTTCCAGCTGTGTGCTGTTGGACTGGCCATGTCTGCTGTTGGTTTCCGAGCCAGGGAATCCTCCCGTTGGCGGGCCAGCAGCTCCAACTAGCACTGCTCAGTCACAGCCCGCAGGAGGGGAGTTCGAACTTAGACATGGGGTAGTTTAAATGAACTCATAGTGTTTCCAATAAACTTAAGGTTTGAAAGAAGGTCCATCCCCAGGACTCCCTCTCCGATTCCCGCTTTAAAACGAACTTAGTGTGCACAAGCTGTTTGTCACGGTGGGAATAGAGAATGGAAAGAGCAAACTATGGCTCAAATACTGAAAACTGTGAGATCATCGCCCCAAACCCTGAAGGCCGCCTCATCACCCGCGGCTTTCTTGTACTCCCCTCCTGTAGCCACGAATCCAGACAGCTGTAATTGCAGGGAGCTGTGCCTCTGAATGAGCACTCAGAACAAGTTGCTGCAGAAGTTTGGAGAAGTTGGAGAGCCCAAGCGCACAGATGCGCAGGTGTCCGCCTTCTGGCAGGCACTCGCAGCGGGTTCACCACGACGTGCCAGGTCCCAGGTCCCAGTGGAAGGCGGTGATCCTGCAGCCCCAAGTTGGAACGGGCTGTGCGAACACCCCGGACTAGGTCACCATCCCTAGTGGGTAGCACGCGCGCCACATTCCAGTTTTCGCGGAGGACAAGATGGTCACTGGAGCGCGAGGCTTGCGCGGCTGTGTAACCGCTCTACCCACACAGGGCTGGGGCCCGACACTGGCTTCCTGCCCCTGCCTCTTTCTCGCCCCGCACACTTTCTTCTCTCCAGTTTTGCGTGCTTTTTATTTCGAACTGGGCTGCAGACTCCTCCCTTGTCAGTGCTTTTCCCGACTCCCATTCACACCCCCAACAGGGTAAAGGGCATATCTGCATTCGCACCAAACCAAGAGGGTGGACCCCAGGGACTTGGTGCCAATACCAGCGGCTGGGTGACTCCTGGACCGACGCTGCGTGTCGCGTGTAAAGGGGCGCCAGTCCGGACACTCAGGTCGAAACTCCTAAATTTGTGAACCAAGAAAATGATTCTGGCAACTCTTACCTTAGGGACTGGGGGTGTGGTGCTTTTGCTTTTGTTTGTTTCTTTGTTTTTCCCACCAATATAAAAACTAGATAAGTTGGAGCAATGCCACCTGATCTCCGCGCAGCCTCCCGGCTCGCAGCTTCTCCCATCGCTCAGACCCGACACTTGTTACTTCGCTTCAAACCGCAGTTGGAGCAGGTTGGGGACTGGACTCTCGCGCAGGAAAGGGCTTCCACATATTTAGGGAAGATGAGTTTCTCTTCGTAGTGTTTATTGTTCGTTCCTTTACAGGCATAACATTTCTCCTTGCCTTTTAAGGTTTACCAGTTGCAATTTTTTGGAGTTATTGAAGCGATTTCCAGTTACAAAAAAAAAAAAAAATTACATTTAACTTGAATGCAAGCCACTTTGCCGGTTTAGGGGGAGGGGTGGAAAATACCAAGTATTTGTTCTGTGAGTCTTTGTTAAATCAGGACGCAAACTCCCGAGAGTGCTCTTTAACCCTTTTCCAGAAGCAACCTTCTTTCCACGTTTTATCCTTCTTTTCTCCAGTTGGCTTGCTGGAAGAGAAACATTTCCTGGACAGAGTAAAAAATCACAAACCATGACAACGGAAAAGGAACAAATTAAGGAGAAGTTTAAAGATTAGCAATTAAATTTTGATCTACGGTCTTCCTGATGAACACAGGCGTCCTTGTTGGTTCATTTAAGCCTCTGCCTTTCTTCAAGAAGTATCCTTTAGTTATAGATGGGAATTACAAACCCACAGAGAGGCGTGTCACTCACTGGGGCTCAGGTGTTGCTACACATGGAGAACGTGTTTCTTGAGGATTTTTTTTTCTTCCCTTTCAGTTTCTCTAGTGATATATCAGAAAAGGGAGCAGACTGTGTCACTAAACACTTGTTACTCCAGACTTTTTATGGCCCATAACTGAGTGAACACTGCACTCTGACAGTCCACCTGAAGTTAACACTGCCCTTACATGTCAACTGTCATCAGATTACTGTACAATTTAGCCATGATTATAATTCTTAGAAGCAACCGAAGAGAGATGGTGGAAATCCAAACTGTTGCAATGCTCTCCTAAAGGAAATTATTTTCCTAACTCCCAGATGAGGAAATGCTAGACCTAATTGCAAGGCATAAAATCTAAAAGAATTAAGGTAACAAGAACAAAATAATCAAGCCTGATGATGACCATATCTGGTAACTCAACATTTTAAAAGAATGTGAAGCGTTTGTCTATGCCCTTTGCCAAGGAAAATGATCAGGAACGAGTTTCATGTTTAAAATGAAGCCTTACATCAGTGCACCTAGGCAAGGGCAAGTATATTTAAGTTTTGTAAACTTTCTTCCCCATATTGTAATTTTAAAATAAAGTTAATTTTATATTGCTTTTGGTATTTTATGTCTAAAGTTTCCTGTAAGATAGAGATGATACTTTCCTTCTTTGAATTATATGCTTATAAAAGACATTAACACAGCCCAAGTTAGAGCCTAAGAATCTTTGAATGATGATATTCTTCAAAAAAAATATAAAATTTCTAATAACCATGCATTGTGCTCAACAACCTAACTGTAATAGTTCATAACTTGTGTGGTTAATATTTTATATTTTTATAAATTTATAAGCGTGTGTCTTAACTGGTTTTAATTTGCAACATATGAAATTAATGCTTATGCTTATAGCTGTAAATTTTACATCAGTGATTCTTGAAAACCCTGCTCTTTTTTGAAGATGATAATGATTTGTATTTATAATATAAAAACAAAGGTTAATTAAATGTTAATTAACCTACTTAATGGATAAGGTCTGATAAAAGGGCATTTTCTTTTTACCTTGACTTTAGTTTTTGTGATTTACTTAAAACAGATAGCAAAATAACTCATAACCAAGGGGCTTATTGTTCCCAAGTCAGGCTGTTCAATTTAATAGGTGGTAAAGTATCATTGTATGTCATGCAGGTGTGATCATGCAAACTCTGCCTTCTCAGGATTCAGTATCATGCATGCAAAATGGAGCTCAGCTTTCAGGTATCTATTCATGACCTCCCAAGGCCACTAAATCCTTCCCTATTGGTTCTGAGTTTGTCTTACCTTCAATGTTTCTCAAGCTAATTCATCATAGCTTTGTTGTCTGTGCTCCTGGAACTTAAGTATTCTATCTGCATCTGTTAACAGGCTACATTGAATCTTTTCAAAAGAGAGTTAATGCATACATGATTTACATTGATGATCCAGTTTTAAACAACATGACATCAGGCGTCTTACCATCCTCAACATTTAATAAAGGGCAGCACACAACCAGCACTCAATAATTGCTATCCTACCTGTCACCTGCATGCCAACTGATCACAAAGCTCTATTACTGCTGACACTAATAAATCTTGACTAAATTGAGGGATGCATGTTTACAGTATCGTCATAGTCAAGCCTAAAAAGACAAAAACAAGTCTATTATATTCCTAGTAAAAAAAAAATTCATTAGAGTCAACACCTTGAATGGACAATCTTAAAAACAGACCAAAGGCAATAAAAACAACTCAGCTACTACTCACACTCCTAGATCTTCAACTTCAATTAAATTACGCTTACAAATTCATATTGCTAGATTTTCAGTTTCAGTTAGTTTACTCTTATAAATTCAAACAAAGTAATTATAAACCAAATTTTAATTTTATTTTCACTTTATGTTATCAAACAAGTAAAACCAGTATAAGTTATATCTGTCTTTATTTAATAAAAACCAAATGTCCAATTTTCAATTAGATTATTTTTATAATACACAACTGTTAAGACATGAGTATTCCAAGTACATCCCAAGTATCTGTTTCATCAGAAAAAAGGGTTTCATATTCCTTCCTTAAAAAAAGATGCAGGTAGAAATTTTCACTAGTCAAACTGAAACATTTCACTCTTTCCTGAAAATTACCTCTGTGTTATGGCTGTGAATATCCAGCTCTGAGATCACTGGTGTTAAAAAGTACTATCTTTTTTTCAAAAGACACTCAGTACTGTCTCCTTGTGATAACTGTGTGCACGTTAGCACTATGAGTAATGCAGCTGGGCTGGGACACAGAGCTGTATTTCAAATACTCGCCATTCTGAGACAGCAAACCACCTTGGAGAATGCTGAAGTGAGTTTCGGTTCTCAAAACCAGAAGCAAACTAGGATGGGGCCAGGAGCTCAGTTCAATCAGCATTTCCACCCAAGCTTTATAAGTCAGAGGGATTAATTTTGTTTGAGATTCAAACCAATGTGACAAAATTATATCTCAAAAACTTAATAATAAGCTTAACGGAAAGAAAACATTTCTTTCAGAGAGCTGAAAGTCCAGTTTAAGGTATTTGAGTAGGAAGGGAACATGGCGGGCGGAGGCATTAGAGGCAGAGCATTGGCTCCTTGATGGATTGCAATGGCCAAAACCTACAAATTGTCTGCTGTGATTCCTGTGAACACCTTATGTACCAGGGAGCATGCAGGTTCAGCAGGGGTGCCCAAGTGGCCCTTGAGTCTGTCCCCATGAGTTATAGTGTGATGCTTCAATTGTGTAGTGTTAAAGTTGTTTGAGATAAGTAGGTTTTCATTTGCTACTCAGGAACCTTTCTCTTGAAAACATTTTAATTTTAATAGCCATTTTTTGACATGGGCCTTGACAAAGGGTCAGAGGTACAAGATAAAGAAATAATGATGGATTCTCCAGCTGTGTCTCAAAAATAAGAATCAGGATGGCTTGCTTCATCCAGAGAACTGATTCCCTTCTGCAAATTTCACAGACACAGCAAGACACGGCCTGAGGCACAAGTGGCCCTCTGAGCTTCCTTCCCATTTGGACCAGAATTGAATGGGCATTCAAGGCCCCATAGCTGGGGTAGGGTCATTCACACAGGGGAGCTTCCCTGGCCTCAGGCTTTGACCTGTGAACAACTGAGAGGTTCCTCCTGAGCTGCTCCTATTAAAGTGCCCAAAGGGGAAGGAGCATGAGCTCAAGGCAGTAAGGTCCTTACGCTGTTTTGGGACAGTGTCCAGGCTTCTTTTCCAGGATGGGAAGAACCTAGTGTGGACTGTGAGCACACACCATCCTACAGCATCTACTAGAGCAAGCAGTTAAGTAGAACTTCCTATATTAATCTTTCAAAATAGATCCTTTGAGGAAAGGTCACTTATGGAAGACAAAAGATCAGCAGTCTTGGCTTTTCAACACTTTTTCCTCTATGTGACTTGACAGAGAGACAAAGAAATTATCCTGCCTCTATCAGGCGGGAAGTGGTAAGAAGAGGCCTTTGAGACGAGAGGGCATGTCTTCCACTATCCCTGGTCACATTCATTTACTGGGTTCAGAATGGGTTCACTGAGGGTGCCTGTACTCTCCTCACACTGCAGCCATGGATGGAGGTGACGTCTCCCTCCTGCTGCTTTCTCCCTTGTGTTCCATGCAGAGCAAGGAACATTTCAGCAGTGACTCCATCGGGACTCCGCTCTGTCCAGTGGTGTACGCCAGGGTGCATCCCGAGACCAAGAAGCCTCCTGAACTCAAACAGTGGTCTCTGCACCTGACGCCAGGTCTCCAGTCCCACTACCGTGCCCTGCTGTGGCATGAAAGTCTACTTTCCCCCCTTCTCCCTCCAGCACTCCAATTCTGGTAGATATTTTCATTGGAAATTTCCAGAATTGCACTCAGGAGTCTTGTTGTCCTGGTGCATTATCCTGTCCTGTGCCTAGATGTTCAGAACCACCCCAGGTAAGGAATTTTGTACCTTCAAATAATCTGCCATCACTGCTAGCAGTAATAAATAAATGTATTCTGAAAATTATAATTTCATGTATATATATATATATATATACACACACACACATACACACACATAGTTAACATAACCCTCTAGTACAGTAAACATACTAAAAAGTCAAGGGTATTCTACTAACTAGAAATGGCCATAAGAAGTCTTGATTTCTCTCTCTCTCTCTCTCTCTCTCTCTCTCTCTCTCTCTCTCTCTCT